TGGTGCTTAATGACAAGAAATGAGTTGCGCTTAACATTCGATAGTGTAACGAACGCTTCGAATGGCTGCAAGAATGCTTTTAAGATGAAGGTCTCTCAAATTTCCATGAGGTGTATTGTTGTCCGTAGGAGTGTCACAAGAAGCGTGATGGTATGAGGCATTTTATTCGAGAAATAATTCATTATTCATTTATTTGATAGTAAAATTGAAGCGATATCGAAATACGAAGAAATCAACAGCACAAAATTAGCCAAACAGTATTTAGTTGTACGCCAGTACCATCACGATCACTTGTGTCAATACCTCCTTCTCCAATAAATGATCTCATTCCCAAATTGTTTTCATTCACTATTCGCCTATGAATGCTCGATCGCATACAATAACTAAGTACTGCTTGACTAACTAATACAACATAAATGAGCACACACCCAAACCCAGACCCAGACTCAGACACACGCCCATTAAGTGAATTGGCATAGTGAGTAGTTGTTAATGAGTTAAAAGCAGTACATCTGATTCANACACACGCCCATTAAGTGAATTGGCATAGTGAGTAGTTGTTAATGAGTTAAAAGCAGTACATCTGATTCAGAGGTTAGTGTTATTCGAAACGATTGGTGCGTTGTGCTTAAGTGAATATCAATTGCGTTTACAATATCAAGATAATCAAACACCAAACAACACGAGTATCTACGAGTATCAATTGGAGATTATGAAAGATAGTTGAAAAAAGAGCATCATTAGTATGGCAGTTGCATTTGAGATACGTTCGCACTCATTGAACTTGATCATTGGACAATGGAATACTTCCGAGATGCGCAATGCTGGCAGCAGTCAGCATCTTCCACATTTAAGTAGCTGCTCAAAACGCATGTTTTTAATTGGATCAGCTCGATACTCACATTCTGATTATGAGTAATGAAATTGGCAACGAGATCTCAAAGCAAGTTTAAGCGATGATCTGTACAGAAAGTTGCAGAAGCTAGTCCACAAATCAAGACGATGAATGGCAAGCGCAACCGAAGAAACACAAAAAATGCATAAAGTGTGAGATATATCAAATGCAAATGCATCATCTCCAACATAAAAAGTTGAAAATTTCCGTTGAAAACGCAAATAAAACTGATCAGGAATCAGCCAGCAAGAAGGCACAAATACTGAATGTTAGAATGTTTCTGATAGAATATATATATATAAATTTCTATTTCAAAAATTTAATAACCATAGGCAATGGAACGACGCGAGAAAAGTGAAGGTGGAGTGATCATAGCGAGGTATCGGAACAAAAGAATTCGATAACGACATCCTATTGGTTGCTATGCACTCCCATCCTATTTGTTGCTATCCAATTAGTTGGAATTCATTCTCGAAACATTCTCAGAGAGCGCAATAATGAAAAATCTTCGACTGGTCAGTTTCACTTTATTTTAGTTGTATGGAATGGAAACCGTGTCTAATGCGCAATTATATTGCACCATATCCAAGGCGTCACTGTCATCAGTGGAAGCGGCTTTGAAAGAGAAACGAGTTGTTCTAGAAGCAGGTTGATGACAACTTAAAAATACCTTGGCTCATCAGCCCAATAGGTTCGATCAACTCTCTCGATGACTTGTCGTTCAACCTTTGTGGTCACATCATCCAGATTTTCACGCGATCCAAATGGTTGCGATAGGTTTTCTCTTGAAAAATATGGAGCTTTAGTGAGTTTTTCGAGTGTCTCGTGCGATGTGAGCGTATCACGACGTCTGTTATCGGCATCTAATTGCGACAGTAGACGTCGCTTCTCGGCTTCCATTTTCTCCTTCTCCTCGATTTCACGAGCCAACTGATCGAGTTTATCACGGCTTCGTCGATCCTCACGACGGCGTAACGCCTCACGTTCAACTGCCTCACGTCTCTCCTTTTCGCGCAATTCTGCGTTACGTCTCTCATGCTCACGAATTTCAGCAATACGTCTCTCATCCTCTTGTCTGTAACCAAATATCAATTACTNGACTTCAAAATGATATTTTTCAAAGTATCTCTGAGTAATCAGATAGCTTAAAACTGCGGCTAACCAACAAGTTCTACAAAACACGAAAGGACTTCTGAAAAGGAAACGAAACTGGTGAGAACGTCGCGACAATCTACTTACCTCTCTTTAGCACGTCGTTCAGCCTCCAACCGCTCTAGCTCCTTCATCTCCTGTGCTTTTCGTTCCAGTGCCGTAAGTTGCTCATCTCGTTGCATTGCAGCAATTCGCGCTGCGCGTCTACAATAGTTGGGATTAATAATTGCACAGAATTCTGGGATTTTGACTGCTGATCCCTCATCCCCAAATTTATTCGCTGAAAAATCCCGAGACATTCTGCACACTCAATCGGTTCGATTGAACTGTAACCGATCGGAATGAATACAAAATATTCAGTCTTCATCAATAAATTGCCAGCTGCATCCTTAGAAGCTTTACAGTTGAATACAGTTAATATTTAACCGAACCGTAATTCAGCATTCTTATAAGTTAAAGAATGCTGGATTACGATACTCATTCTCCTCCATCAACACTCTCTAAAATGATCCAATCAGAACCTTTCTTGAGCGGCCCGTTCGATTTCAGCCAACTTCTCACGTTCGAGTTCCTCTTCCATCTGTCGCTCACGTTCTCTTCTGATTGCTTCCCTCCGTTCCATTTCACGTCTTTCCGCTTCTTTCCTCTCTTCCTCTTGCCGTTCCCTCTCCTTCCTCTCATCCTCCAGTCGTTCTTGCTCACGTCTTTCAGCAGCTCTCCGTTGCTCATCACGTAACTCCTTCTCACGTCTTTCATCCTCCTTAATAATCACTCGCTTCATTACAAATCAAAACTTTCAGCACTTTTTCATT